TGTGTGTGTGTGTGTGTGTGTGTGTGTGTGTGTGTGTGCGCGCGCGTGCGCGCGCGCGTGCGTGAGAGAGAGAGAATGTGACGAGCGCAGAAGATTGGACGCGTTGAAGACGAGACGGGCCAACTTGTTTGAGGCCTTCCGAAACGCGCGTGCGCGTGTGCGAGTCGGGCAGGAAAGGCGAGGCGCAAGTCGAAAAGCAGAGGACGACCGACTGCGGAAGAAGAGTGAAGAAGGTCGGAGAAAGCAGCATCGGAGGCGCCTTCGTAAGTTGGACGGCAGGGAGCCGTCGCGGTTCGCGGGTCTGCCTCGCGCTAACCCTCGCGAGAGTCTCGTTGGCCGCGGGAATGCGCGTTTCGACTGGCGAGCGGTCAGCCGGGATGGGCTACGTCCGCACGGCCGCCGCTGTCTCGGCGTTCGCTTGTCACGTGTTTGCGTCTTCCAACGTCGCAGCCGGTCCTTTGGCGTTTCTTGTTCACACGCCACCGAAGCCTTCCGCATTCGCTCCGAAAAGATGGGGCGGGGGGGGTGTCGAGTTTCGTTTCAATAAAAATGGGGCGACAAAATCTTTTGATGCAGTGGTGAGAGACGAAATGGATGTCATGCTATTTATTATCATTTGAATGTTATCACTTGAATTTGTTTTCCAATTGATTTATTGGATGTCATTTTTGGGGCTGTTCATCCTGCTGTCAGACTTGATTTGAAACAAATAAATGCCTCCCTTTTCTTCTGTCCGCGTCTTCGAGACGACATGCAGTGAGTACATGAGGTGCTTCTCGAAGGCCCAATCGAGTCAAAAGCAATGCCCCCCCCCCCGCTCCCCCAAATACGACCAGATACATGCAAGTGTTCGTTGAACTTGTGCCCTCTAGTGGTGTTTTTTTTTCCAGCGCGACTGGCCAGTGCGCCCCCAAACCGAGAAATCCGAAGCAACCCACTGAGCATCAGGCTGAAAAGACAAGAAATAAAGGAGTGCGCAGTACATGCAAAGGATGCAAACGGTTTGACGAAAATCAAGAACCCTTGAGTCTGTCTTCGAGGGGAATTACAAACGATTATTTCAATTCAGAAAAGCATTTTCCCTTTTTGGGTTAAGATAGAAAAGAACTTTTCAAAAGGGTCACAAAGACAGTTTTCGAACTCATAAAATGGAACCCAATAGAACGTGTCCGAACATCGAAAAAATACACCAAATGACACTTTTGAAAAGCAGCTTTATGAAAAGTACATCGATTCTGTTCCAGCACGTCATAAAAAAAAAAAAACAAGAAAACAGCAACAACTTGATGAATCTGCACAATGCCC